TGATATGATGCTGAATTCTGTTGGCTAGAATTCAGAATTTTTGCATCTATATTCATGAGAGATATTGGTCTGTAATTTTCTTTTTTTGTGACATCTTTGCCTGGTTTTGGTATCAGTGTTATGCTGGCTTCATAGAATCAATTTGGAAGTGTTGCTTCCTCTTCTATGCTCTGAAATAGCTTGAGTAGTACTGTCTACAGCTTTTTTTTTAAAATCAAGTTTCACTCACTGCATTTAGTCGTCTCTGAAGAGTCTGTTTTCATCTAGAAGGAGTCCCCCACCTTCTCCCCCCACCCCATTTCACTGGCTTTGTGAAGGGTCTAGGCTAGCTGTCTTTTACAATGTCTCACATTCTGCATTTGTTTGATTGTGTCCTCATGGAATCCCCTTGCCAATTCCTGAAATTAGAAAGTAGGTATAGAGGCTTGATTAGGTTCAAGTTAAGCCTTTTGTTTCATAGGTGGTGTCATGGATTGAATTATGTCCCCCAAAAATATGTGTATCAATTTGGCTGGGCCATGATTCCAAGATTGCGTAATTGTCCTCCATTTTGTGATTGTAATTTTATGTTCAAGAAGATTAGGGTGGTATTGTAACACCCTTACTAAGGTTACATCCTTTATACAATGTAAAGGGAGTTTCCCTGGGCTGTGGCCTGCACCACCTTTTATCTCTTGTAAGAGATGAAAGGGAAGCAAGCAGAGAATTGGGGACCTCATACCACCAAGAAAGCAATGCTGGGAGCAGAGCGCGTCCTTTGGACCTGAGGTTTCTGCGCTGAGATGCTGCCAGAGGGAGGGAAGACTAATGCGTCACAAGGAGCTTCCTCCAGAGCCGACAGAGAGAGAAAGCTGTTTCCTGGAGCTGATGCCCTGAATTTGGCCTTGTAGCCTACTCAACTGTGAGAAAATAAACTTCTCTTTGTTAAAGCCATCCACTTGTGGTATTTCAGTTAAAGCAGCAGTAGATGACTAAGACAGATGGTACTGGCACTTCATGTTGCATTGTAGTCCCTGGGTTACCATCGAGATCCATTCCTAACAATGCCTTTAAGTCCAATTTGTAGGTCAGTCGAATTTGTAGGTAAATCGGAACAGGTGCATATATGGTTCTTATTTAGTCTCACTTTAAGTAACAGCAATGGATTATTTTTGGTTAGTGCAAGGAAAGGCTCAAAGCCTTTTCAATGATTTAAAAGCTGCGTGTGCAGCAAGTGAAAGTGATTGTGATGAAGAATTTTTTGTGAGTAGGGGTTGGTTCAATCGTTCAAAGTGAGGGCAAATTTACATAACACTAAATGGCAAGTACGAGTTAAGTCAGATGTTCATTACCTGGGGACTTACTGTATTTGACATTTTTTGAAGTTCCTGGTAATGCATAAATTGCATACAGATTGGAAATTAAGACATAAGCTAATCATTATTATATAGCTACATAAGCTAGAAAATTAAAAAAAAAAAACTATTAAAACTTAGAATAATTTGGCAAAGTAACTCGATCCAAATGAAATAAAAAATAAAAGCAATAACCAGTAGAAATTGAGGTGTGATTTTCAAATGCAGCCCTTTGTCCTCCATGCAAGAGACTGAGTGCTTTTTAGGAAGTCACGACATTCATTTTCAGTGAGCACCTACATCAGACACTGAGGTAGTGGGGTAATACAGTTAATAATCGTGTTGGTTCCCACTCTCCAGAGGCTTAGTATGGTAGGGGATGAGCAGACAAGAACCATACAGTTGTAGCATCCAACAGGCAAGGGGGTCCTACTGAAGACATGACGAGTAATTGCCAACTCAGAGCTTGAGATATGGAACCATGTGGGGAACGGGGTTGGGCTCTCACCTAGGATCTGGGGGCACCCAAAGTAAAACACTTGAACTAACAAGAATCCTATCTGCACATCTTTTAAAGGAAAATGAAAACCAATACCAAAAATATAGCTGAAAACAGAAATTTATTTTAAAATACATATTCATGAATGGTAAATTTATAGCTGTGTCCCAGGCTTGGTAATTTTTTAGGTTACCAATAAACATTCTAACTTTGTCTGAACTGCCTCCCCCAGAATCACATCTAATTGTTATTTTCTTGAGCTTCAACCCTCTCTTCCCTTCGTTCTCCATTCTCTGTTAACCATAGCTCACGAAATGTCTCCCCTCCAGGTTCCATACCTGACATTGCCTGTTATGGACTGAATTGTGTCCCCCCAGAATTTGTGTTGTAAATTCTAACCTCTAAGCCTGTGGTTTTCAGTAAGTAATTTTTTTTTTAATCTATGTTTCATTGACTATGCAAAGGTATTCGACTGTGTGGATCGTAACAAATTATGAATAACACTGCAAAGAATTGGAATTCCAGAACATTTGATTGTACTCATGAGGAACGTGTACATAGATCAAGGGGCAGTCACTTGGACAGAACAAGGGGATACTGTGTGGTTTAAGGTCAGGAAAGCTATGTATCAGAGTTGTATCCTTTCACCATACTTATTCAATCTGTATGCTGAACAAATAATTCGAGAAGCTGGACTATATGAAGAACGGGGCATCAGGATTGGAAGAACTCTGACACTGTGTTATGCAGATGACACAACTTTGCTTGCTGAAAGTGAAGAGGACTTGAAGCACTTACTCATGAAGATCAAGGACTACAGCCTTCAGTATGGATTACACCTCAACATAAAGAAAACAAAAATCCTCACAACTGGACCAATAAGCGACATCATGGTAAACGGAGAAAAGATCGAAGTTGTCGAGGATTTCATTTTAGTTGGACCCATAAATCAATGCCCATGGAAACAGTGGAATACTGAATATACCATGGACTGCCAAAAGATCGAACAAATCTGTCCTAGAAGAAGTACAGCCAGAATGCTCCTTAGAGGCAAGGATGGCAAGACTTCGTCTCACATACTTTGGACATGTTATCAGGAGGGACCAGTCCCTGGAGAAGGACATCATGCTTGGTAGAGAGTCAGCAAAAGAGAGGAAGACCTTCAACAAGATGGACTGATACAGTGGCTGCAACAATGGGCTCAAGTATAACAGCAGTTGTGAGGATGGCGCAGGACCAGTGTTTCGTTCTGTTGTACACAGGGTTGCTATGAGTCTGAACTGACCAAGGACACCTAACAACAACAAAGGCCTGTGGTTATAATCCCATATGGGAATGAGTTGTCTTTATGTTAATGAGGCAGGATTAGTGTAGGGTGTATCTTGAGTCAATCTCTTTTGAGATACAAAAGAGATTAAGTAAGCGGAGCACAGATGGGGAAAGAGAGATGCCAAGCCACATGAAAATCCCCCAGAAGCTCAAAAGAGACATGGACCTTCCTCTAGAACCAACAGAGAGAAAGCCTTTCCCTAGAGCTGGCACCCTGAATTTGGACTTCTAGCCTCCTAATTGTAAGAAAATTTCTGTTTGTTAAAGTCACCCACTTGTGGTATTTGTTATAGCAGCACTAGATAACTAAGACATTGCTTCTCTAGCCTCCTCCTCCACCTTTGCCACGCTGTTGATCCTGTCGTCCTGTTAAGAGGAAGTTTGGGGGATGAGCAGAGCAAGGACTAGATACCAGAGGCAAAGGTCTCCCAGCACTGGGGCCCTACTACAAGGGTAGAAGGGAAAAGCTGTTCAAGCTCATGTCTGATAGGATTGTAGGGGAGGAAATTCTCTGAAGATTTCCTGTTCCTTTTGCTTTTGTGAAATGAAAGATAGCCCAGAAGATAATTATGATAATTAAGGGTACAACTCTCATCTTAAAAATAAGATGACAGTTGCATATAGATAGGACTAGTTGATAAAGAGAAACAAATTGGTGAACAACGCCTGCTCAACCAGATTAGTTTTAACTCTATTCTTGCCACAAACCCCATCACTGTGAATTCCAATCATTCAAGAATGCTTCAGCTGGGATTTTCAACCATCTTTACCATGACCATGAAAGTCAAGCCTGCTTTGCAATAAACTTTTGACTCTGCTCTTAACCTGTTTATTTAGGAAGCACGGTGTGGTCAGCTATTTCAGAACTGGAGTCAGTGTACACAACAAAGTACCTCTATCAGTGGGACATGACTGCCCACCCCAATATCTAGATACATACACACACTCACTCACGCACAATTCTATTAGCTCTTTGAGGCAAAAGCCTACAGTAGTGAGATTTCCAGGTAGAAGACATTAAAGGGGCCTTTGTATGTGATACCCTATGATGAGATACCACTTCCATCTTTAGAAGCTTCTAGCCTCGGGGAAAGATCGTGCCCACTTTATAAGAGTCAAAATTTTTATTTATTTACCAACTCGTATATGCAAATCTTTATACGTTAAAAGAAACAGATACTATACCCAACCTCGAAAAGCCTAGAAGTCGGTATGAAAGTATACACATATGCATTAAATTGAGGATAATTTACAAGGCTATTCAACAACAGTTGCACACTGTAGCACTAGCTAATTGAAAGCACTGAGGTCAAATCAATATAAGTTTAAGAGAAATGAAAAAGCATTTGAAAAAGAAAGTCAGAGATGAGCTGGATCTTGAAGGTCGTGAGGGACATAGATTAGCAAACAGGAAGAAAAAAGTGTTTTCTAGGTACGGAAAGTGATTAGAGTAGATTAGACTAGACGTTGAAAAAGTATATTGGGAGAACAATAGCCAAGAGACAGGAAAGAATGAATCAGTTTTTGAGAATGATTTTATGTAAATGGTGAAATGGAGAAGATGGAATAGAATAAAGATCTCTGTCCTTGACAAGCACACAATCTGATTATGGGATGTATAACTAAGAAAGGAAATAGATTTATAATAGTTTTAAAAAAAGAAAAAGAAACCTACAAGTAAATGAAATGTGTGGTCCTTACTTTCCCAAGAGCGGGGAAGAATTGCACTGTTACTCATTCTCAGCTTAGTGATCCAATGAAAACACTTATAGAAAGGCCCACTTGTAGTCAGTGGTTCCAAGGAGACCAGGTGAGCATCCTTCTTATAAACAAAGCTTAACTCAAACTACCTTGCTCTCTGCCTTGGAGAACCATGCTTTAAGAAACTGACCTAGCCAGAGCTGAGTGTTTTTCTCCAGTGTGAGTTCGCTGGTGGTGATTAAAAGTGGAACGCTGACTGAAGGCTTTCCCGCACTCACTACATTCATAGGGTTTCTCTCCGGTGTGAACTCTCTGGTGCACGATAAGCTGTGAGCTGTCGCTAAAGGCTTTCCCACAGTCATTGCATTTATAGGGTTTCTCCCCAGTATGGGTTCTCTGATGTACCATTAGGCTAGAGCTATAACTGAAGACCTTGCCACATTCATTACATTCATAGGGTTTCTCACCAGTGTGAATTCTCTGGTGTATAATGAGGTGTGAGTTTTGATTGAAGGATTTTCCACACTCTTTGCATTTGTAGGGCTTCTCACCCGTGTGAAGTCTCTGGTGCCGAATAAGACATTTACTTAGACTGAATGCCTTACCACACTCACTACATTCAAAAGGTTTTTCTCCAGTATGCATTCGCTCGTGGTCAACCAGTTGAGAGTTCTGATTAAAGGCTTTCCCACATTCGCTACATTTGTATGGTTTTTCCCCAGTGTGGAGGCTCTGATGTCGAATAAGACATTTACTCCGACTGAAGGCCTTGCCACATTCGTTACACTCATAAGGCTTCTCCCCAGTGTGGATTCTCTGATGGTCAGTAAGATTCCTATTGGAACAGAAAGCTTTCCCACACTCATTACACTCATAAGGTTTCTCCCCTGTGTGAAGTACTCGATGTCGGACAAGACTTTTACTCCGAATGAAAGCCTCTCCACACTTGTTGCATTCATAAGGTTTCTCCCCAGTATGAGTTCTCTGGTGGTCAATGAGTTGGGAACTTTGAGTGAAGGCTTTTCCACATTCATTACATTTATATGGTTTCTCCCCATCATGGTGTCTCTGGTGTTGAATGAGATGGGAGCTGTGCCGGTAGGTTTTCCCACACTCGTTGCATTCATAGGGCTTCTCCCCCGTGTGGATTCTGAGATGAACAATGAGCTGAGAGGTCTGCCTAAAGGTCTTACCACATTCATTACACTCATAGGGCTTCTCTCCAGTGTGGATTCTCTGATGGCCAATGAGGTGTGAGCTCCGACTGAAAGCTTTGCCACACTCATCACACTGATAGGATTTCTGTCCCTTCAGAACTCCTTGATGTTCAGCAGGACTGGAGGACAGATTACAATGTTCCCCGAGTTCCTTATATTTCTCACATTTGTCTTTTATGGGATTTTTTTTATCCTCATCTGTTATTTCCAAGAAATTACTTTCTAGTCTGCTCCCTTCTTCATCTGAGGGCTGCTCTTCTAGATTCTTTAAAGTACCTTCACAGGAATCTCCAGCCTCTGGTGTCCCAGGAACCATCCCATGAAGTCCTCCTGATGTCCCATCAGATGACCCTGGTCCCTTAGAAATTACCTGATTTGGAGTCAACTCTGAACTGTTCATTCTGTTCTCACCTGCTGTGAAAAGAAAGAAGAAAACAACTTTTACTCATTTCTTGTCCTGTTGAAGAAACAATAAAGAGATCTATGTACACAAAGGAAACTTCACTCTATGGGTAAAGAATGAGGTGATACATTGAGAACAGAAGAGGAAATGGTAAATAGCTCAATATTTTCTTCATGGACAGAAAAAACAAAGAGACAGAAAATGGTCAGTGGAAGAGGGTGGAAGAAGAGATAGCAGAGACAGGCAGATGTTGAGCCAGCACAGCCAAGTTAGAAGGGCAATTGGCAAGGTAAGAGACCAGACTGTAAAGCATGGTGTGATCTTACAGAAATCACTAAATGCGACATCTCCTCAGTAAAGTGATGAACTCTAAGGTCTTTTCCAACCATGCCACTGTGCTGTCCAACAGTTCTCAGAAAAAGATGTTTAGGAAAAGAGAGCAGTGGTGAACACCTCAAGTCAGATACATGAAACAGTGAGGGCAAAGATGGGAGTTGATGGGAGAATTATATTATGAGGGTATGATTTGGAAAAAAGTATATAAAAAGGAGTGATTCTGGTGTGACAGAGCAGTGACAAGATCTGGAGAAGCTACAAGTTCAGGAAATAAGAAATGGCAAAGGCTGGGGAATAGTGAAAAGAGCGGAAGTCTAAAAGTAGGGATCCCCCCGGTCCCCGGAGCACTGGACTAATAGAAGCCAGTACTGTATGTACTCTTATAAAAATTAAGGCACCGATGACTTAAAATAGAATCAAAACATATCTTCGTGATCTTGATTCTCTACAATGATAAGGGAACTGAATAGCTGAACATTTGCTTTTAAATTCTGAAGACCAAATACAAAAGCTGGGAGAAGAGAAAGTAATCATGGCCATTCATAGTTAAACATGAAAATGTTGGTTCCTCTCAATCCTGTCTTAACCAGGGCCGCAAGTCATCATGCCACCTTGGTATGTGAGAAGTTGGAGATGTCTGGGTCTCTAAGCCCATCCTCTCTAGAGTTGGCTACTGTAGTAGACTTACCAATCATAGGACCTGCCCTGATGACAACCCCTCCAGAAAACAGCCTCATCCCAGTCTTTGCTGAAAGGGAAGCTTAGGCAACCATGCTTTGTACCAAGTGACTCTGCTCATTCCATGATGGACCACAAGTGATTGAACTAGGGGCAAAGCACCAGATCCAAGTGTAGCTTATCACAGGCTAGTCAACAGCCTCTGCTGTGGCCTGGGGCCAAAGCTCTGCCCAGAGATGACATTTAATGACTAAGCCAATTGGAGTCCTTCTCTAAGGAAATTCTGAACTTGAAGTAGCAATAAAAATAAGACAGTTAAGACCAGGTGCTGAAGCTGAGATGAGTAAGACAGTTAAGACCAGGAGCTGAAGCTGAAATGATGCATGGAGAGAAGCAAGCCATTAGGAGCCACACAGCAGAAATTATGAGGAAACAGAAACTATAATTCAGTGGAGCTATGAGGGGGCAACAGACTCAAGAGTGAAGAAACTGGATAGCAATGAGAAGAGAAGGAGAGAGAAAACAAATATGCAAGGAGCAGGTGAGTTACATTCACAGCGCAACACTGGCATAAAGGTTCATTTGCTTTTGTTGCTGAGGCTCCCGTGCTGCCCTGGATCAAGGCCCAGTCTCCACAAGGCCCCATTCCCAGTGTGGTCTAGCTGACTGGTTTGTTCTGGATTCCCATTCCTTGAAGCCTTATTAACACACAGCTTGTTACTTACAGTAACTTGTGTAGCTCTATTCCTTACAACTAAAAAAACCCAACTAAACCACCATATGTCATCAATAATAATGAAGCAAAGAGAATGCAGATAACCATAAAGCTAGGTGATAAGTACAGAGGGGTTCATTATACTGTTTTCTCTACTTTTGTCTGCATTTTTCAAAATAAGAAATTAGAAGGAAAAAAAAAAGAAGAAGAAAGCATGAAGAATGCAGACTGGGGAACAGAATCATTACCCAATGAGGCCACGCTGTGATAATTTTCTAGCATCATGTTCCGGTACAGAGCTCTCTGACTGAGTGCCGGACCTTTCCACTTCTTCTGAGTATAGTCCACAGAAAGGTCATCATATGCTGCAGACTCCTGGAATGACAAACTTCCACTGCTCAGGAACATTCCCACTGTGAAGGGCATGGACATCAGGGATAGAAAGGGCAAAGGGAGTGAGAGAGGGAGAGAAGCTGGGAGACAACTAAAAAGACAAGTTCTGGGCAAGATAAAGTCCATTAACTCAACAGAAGAGACCCAGCATGGGAAGTAATTAGGCAGGGTAGCCACAGGGGAAGTCTCAGAATGGGACAAAGCCCTGGATAGCAGATGCAGCCATTCTTGGGCCACAGAGATGGGAACTCAGGAAGGACAGAAAGAACCAAGCTCACCTGGGGCCTGGCCATCCGAAGTACAGATGCCACTGCTTGTTCTCCTGAGTTCCTCACCTTGGGAAGGGCAGGAACTGGGGAAGCAAGTGGAGCTGAGGGTGGAAAGAAAGCTATTAGTGGGGCAAGCCCAGTTCCTGGCCCTATAAGGTCTATATCCCCAAAGAGTGGATTAAAGAGAGCCTAGGCAGCTTCCCACACACTCTTATCCTTGCATAAAGGCATTAACCTAAGCATACTGTGAATTTTCCCTGGAGGGCCAGGTAAAATCAAGGACTGTCTGCTCCTCCCAGCCCTCGCTCTCTTCAACCTCTCTGAAGGAAGCTATGCTTCTGACCACATTCTCTCTCCCATGGCTTCCCCAGCACAAGCAAGCCTGATTTCCCCTTCACATCTCTACCCCCTCATCCCCTGGTCTCTCTTCCCATTCCTGCCCTCTTATTATGGAGACTCCTTGAAGCTCAGGCCTCAGTACTTCTCTTTTCTCCCTGTCAGAGTATCACAAGTTCCATTGTTTAATGCTGCTGTCACAGGTCTCACCTCTCCCCCAGGCCCCTATCACACACTTCCAGTTCCTACTGGACATTTCACTTGGGTGTCCCACAACACCTTAAACTCAGTGTCTAAAATGCACACTTACCATCTTCTTTTCCTGACTTCACAAGTTCTGCCAATGATTCCAGACATTAACCAGAACTCTCTAATACCTCCTCTCCCTTCCTCAACCCCACTTCCTGTGGATTCTTCCTTCACAATTTCTCTCACATCTCTCCTTTTCCATTATATTCACACAGTTCAGGCAGTAATCGCCTCACATCTATTCTACTGCACTAGCCTCAAACCCAACCTCCCTGCCACTAGTCTCCTCATTCAATCCACAGTGCTCAGCTGTGCCAGAACAGTCCTTCTGAAATACTGTTTCTAACACATCATCCCCTGCCCCCCAAAACCTTCCTGGCCTCAACCCCAAGGCCCTGAACAAGCAGGCCCTGGGCTCCCAAATCCATAGCCCTCCCTGACCCTACCTCAATGGGTCAGAGTCTTTGATCATGTCCTCTCAGAGTCTTTGCTTATATCCTCTGCTCCTGGCATGCCTACCACTTTTCTCTCCCTTTCAAAATCCTCCCCTACTCTTCACTATCTAATCCTACTGCTACTCCTTCATGAAGCATTCCCTACCCGCTCCAGCCTACAATGATCATGCTGACCTTTTATAATGCCCACATTGCTCACCTGTGACTGGATCATTTGATCATACCTACCTAGAGACAAATATCACTCATATGTACCTTATGAGGTTCCCTCTTCTTACACAAAGACTGACTCCCTCTGCCAACTAGATAAAAGCTCTTTGAAAGCAGTGGCAGTGTACTATATCCCTCTGGTCCCCAAGAGTGCCCTTCCTACGACATGTGCTAAATACACAAATGACTGGAGGATAAGGAACAGCTAAGGTGACCAGGAAAGGAGGACAGATGGTAGGACAGTGAGGGATTCCAACGGGGTGGGAGGTAGGGAGATGAGGGAAAAAGAGACTCCTTCCCTGAGGGAGAGGACAGAAGGGAGGGAGGTGTGACTTGAGGCCAGAGCTGGAAAGGTGAGTACCGAAGTGCTCACTGGGGAGATGCTGTGCCGCGGGGTCACGGGGAGGCTCTAGGTGGGTTCCAGGGGCTGAGCCCCCACTGAGGGGTGAGGTAGGAGGTGATTCCTCTGTTGCATCCAGGGCTACTGTCTCCTCCAAATGCATTTCCTGTTCCTCTGCAGAGGCTGAAACCTAGAGACAAGGAAATGTAATTAGGTTCAAGAGAGCATCCTTGGCTAACATTGGTATTCAATTAATATTTGCTGACTGACTTCCTCTTGGTATTTTGCTAAGAGTGTTTGGGGTTATCTGCAAACCTAGTTTTCAGTATGTACTACCTCTCCTCAATAACATATTAAAAAAAGTCAAGTAAGATCAGATAGCACCAATCTTTAAAGACCTCAAAAATACCTCAGAGCATAGACCTTTCATCTTAAGCCCTTGCTTGTTGTCACCAAACCAGCTCCTCATAATTTCGTGGTTACTATTTCTGCCAGTGTTTGAAGCAGAAAACCTAAAACTACGTAAATAAATCATACTCACAAGCTCGCTTGTTCCGTCACGTCCACAACACAGCATAATGTGAAAATAACTTCACCTTCAATAAATCTTGCTGGATTTGCCCTATTGGGTTTCATCTGCTGAGATGTTTGGGGACTCTCTCCTTTATTACATATCTCACCAGTGGGAGCAGTAAGAACAGAAAGCTCCCCAGGTCTGTAGTTCCCAGCTCTCCACTGGGTGCTTCTTATAAATGGGAGTCACAGCTCTGCAATACAGCAGCTGTGGGTATTGGAAGAAGGTAAGACCTAAGTGCACTTATAATTCACTGACAATTAAAAGCTGGTCCAGTTCCTACTGATTATCTAGGATTCTGGTTCATGCTTCCTTTCCTCGCAGGCATGAAAACCTCATTCAATTCTCACTCTAAAATGGTATTCCATTCCACAGCAAGATACTAGAGAAAATCTAGTGGCTTAGAACCTAGAGAGCCAGAAAATCCTGGTCCCCACAATTGGGAGTATTCAGCAATAACCATGCTTTGGATAAATCTCATGGATAAAGGGACCACGTATAAACCGTGTGATCTTGGAGCAGTCAATTAACCTCTCTAAGCTTTCCTCACTTGTAAAATGAAGACAATGATTACTGTTTTGCCTATTTTGCAAGTCGGCTAAGACCTAAAATAAGATTCAAGATGTAAAAGTACTTTCTAAGTTGCTCGATGATGTAGCCCAGCAGGAATTACTCTCAAACCCTCTCACAGCCCCAGCGTGGACATACGTAGATGTTCTACCTGCAGCAATAAAGTAGCTCATTCCTGCTGAGCAGAATCACTCTGACTTGCCCTGTTTTTCCTTGATCTCCTCCTGGCAAATTGCCATGGAAAGCTTGTTTATTCACTTAGCCACTCTACAAACATTTTCTGAGCCCCTGCTAGGAGACAGTCCGCGCTCTCATGTCAGAAAATGTATGCTCTGACAATTAGAAATGGAGTCCAAAGACCCCATTCCTAGGCCATAGCCATGAGTGCTCAGCTGCTCTGCTTGTCAACTGTTAGTCACTCTCTTGGGTTTGCGACTCAGTCACCATTCCCTGAGGCTTCCTGGATAAGACTATGAAGTTTTAATGGAGGGAACATTCTCTTCTGCTAAGATATACCTTAAATCTTAAAAAACAAGGGAAGGAAATAGGGAAATTGTCCTTCCACCCACTTCACTAAATGGCACTCTAAACACTGCTTCAGACTCGTCTTTGCCCATGGTTGGACCTCGCTGCTACCTAGACCTTTGCTATGTTTATTTGTGTGTGTTTGCTTGTCTTCACAAAGGAAATGATGGTTGACAGTCGTTTAATCATAATGCCAAATGGGTGTTGACTGGTACTCCTGGAAAAAGGTCTAGCCCCAGGATATGTATCTAGGCAGAGATGTATGATCATTTTTTAAAGAACACTGAATAAAATGATGTGCTGGGTAACTGGGAAATTTCACATACACGTTTTCCCTGGTAAAGAACAAAACGGTAAAACTAGAGGGGACCTGAGCCTACCCTGCTCAGGCTACACGGGAGCAATCTGAGGTTCACTAAGAGGAGCTGACTTATCCATGGCCCCAGAGCTAGTTAGCTCTGGGACCCTGGAAGCTAGGTTTCCCACCGTATTATACTGCTGACTCTTTCCAACTTCCCCCTAGTTTGAGTTACTTTAGCTTTAAATTTGAGACAACCCCAGGAAACAGGGAAACCAAAATTAGAATTAAAGAGCCAAAAAAACAATACAAAGACCCCCATTAGGCCTGAAGAGTGAGCAAAAGGAACAAATCACTGTGAGGCCCAGAAGCGTCACCTCTCATAAGGAACATAAGCAGGAAGAGACGAACTGGCTCTGGAAGTGAGTAATGAGAACTTCTCAAATGAGGGCCCATGTAATCAGCACACCCAGAGGCCCCAAACCCCCTCCCCCGATTTACCCAGTGTGCACCCCTCTGCCTGCCAGACGTGCTATGTGGATGGCCAGGCCGAAGCTAGGCTCACCATGCGGTATTTCACAGTGAGTCACAGAACTTGGTTGGGATTTGCATTTTTGTTCATGGCTTGGAGCACACAGCTGTCTCCCTCTATCCATGGAAGTAGCTCAGGAACTCTAAAGGCAAACCAGCCTGGAGCCTGGAGAATACTTACTCTAAGCTAACCCAAGCACTAGAGAGTGGTCCCAAATGCCATTCTAGGCGATACTGCTTACCTCTCCTGGTCCACTAAGGTGTCTCTGGAAATCCTCCACCACAGCCACGGCCTCCTCCCCACTCCCAGGGCGATGCAGCTGCACCCAGGTCTGGAGCTCCCCGGGCAGGATGCTCAGGAACTGCTCCAGCACCAGCAGCTCCAGGATCTGCTCCTTGGTGTGCACCTCTGGCATCAGCCACCAGCGGCAGAGTTCCCGGAGTCGGCTCAGAGCCTCCTGTGGCCCAGACATCTCGTGGTAACATAACTGTCTGAAGTGTAGCCGGAAGATTTCGCAGACAGGAGGGTGGTTCTTCTGGAGACTGCAGCTCTGCCCCCAAGTCTGGTTGCCTGGCTCCTGCTTCACAGCCAGGCGCCCCTCCTGCTTCTGGAAAACAGGACCCCTAGGAGTGGGGTCTAAAGTTCCCCTGTCTTCAGTGGCCATTGTGACCCCAAGAAGCTTACTCCAGCTGCAGTTTGTCTGATTAAAATGCTGGTCTGTAATTCAAGTCTCAGGAGCTGTTTTTCAGGGTTGGGGAGAGGAAGGGGGCAGAATATCACCTACAGAAATATCAAGAAAGAAATCAGTGCTCTTGGAGTATGCAGCCCCAGGCTGACAACAAACCTTCCAAAGAGTTAAAAAAACAAAGCTCCACAAAAAAAGAAGACAACCAGGGCAGTCTCTCCAGGTCACTTCACTTCTTAAACTTTCAGTGGTTCCCACCACCTACAGGAAAAAATCTAAATGTCTATGCCTAGCACTCACAGCTCTTCACAACCTAGCCTTGGACCTCTGTTCAAAGCACCCGCCTAACTCTCTCCCCAAGTACCCAGGCTACAAAGACAAGCAAGGGTTTCCAGTGTGAGATGTGCAAGATGAGTCAAAGGTGCAAAATACTGTTTATTTTCATCTTTCTTTCCCACCTTTTAAACTTCTATTTAGTGTATGTTTTATAATGCACTTTTAAATTTGTATGATAGCACATGTCTTTAATTTACAAAAATAAACCTACGTTGGGAGTGCATGCTCAAAACTTCTACCGACAGGAATGCACAATAAACAAAGTTCGGAGACTGAAGCTCTAGAGACATTGCTTCCTCTGTTGGGATTTTTCTTCTTTCAACTTTTGACAAACTCCTACACATCTATCAAGACCCAGAACAAATGCTTTTTCCTCTTGAAGGCTCTTCTGCAGGGAGACGGCTGGCAGCCTCCTTCTCTGTACCTCACACTGTAACACTTTATGCACAATTTACCACTCACACACTCCAAACTGCTGGATGGTCACCAAATGAAAGGAACCAGATGGAGTCAGAACACGCAGAACTTCTTCAACTGAAGTCACCTCCCCAGAAAGCCTTCCAAATCTCTCCAGGCATAAATACGGTTGTCATCTCAGTGATCCCATAGTTTGCTTTTCATTCAAACCTCTGCGAGACCGCATCTCACAATGTAATTGTTTGTGGTTTACACAGTTGTCTCCCTCACTTTCTGGGAGGACCCAAAAACAGGGCTGGCTTCCAGTCATCTTTGTACCCACAGTGCATGGCACACAGAAGCACATACTTGGTGAATGAATGAATGTGGAAATGAAAATCATTTTAAGGATTTCTGAAGCTTTCTGACTCTACTCAACTCATAAAATCTGTCACGTGTATCTGAGGGTAAATATTTTCTTGATTTGGTTTCTAGCCAATGTTTACTATTCTAACCGGTTGTAGTGCTGAAATTTTCAAGCAATTTTCTCTGAAGTAGGGGGTTAGACTTTTATCCAGTTTACATATTGTAAAATCTTGTTTGAAAATCAGAACCTTACTGGTAACCAGGGCATCTTTGCTATGCTTCAACTCACCATGCATCCCGGGTCCCTGGGCACACTACTCTCTGAGCTTCAATTTCTTTAAAAAGACAAAGATAGGCTTAAAAAACAATATGAACTCTGTTCTGAGATCTCACACATCTAGGAAGTTCGGGCCATTTTCCCACTTCCCTTATCGTTCCGAAGCTCAGTAGCTTATCTCATCTGGATTCTTGAGTTCCCAAGTCACTCTTTACGTTTGAAATTCCAAGGCCGCGTCTGATCCACTTCTGACGCTTTGTATTGTCTGTCTCCCAGAGCAAGCCTGGGAAAACATCTACTTACATTTCACCCTAAACCAGGTCGGGCTGCGGCGCCCCTCACCTGACCACGTCGACTGTGTTCATCGCTGTGCCCGCAGGTGCCCGGCTCCGTGCCAGGCACGGCTGGTCAGAGAAACTGGACAAAGAGGTAGGTCTGCGTCTGGCGACTTCCGAGCATCGGGGAACGCGTAGCCGGCCACGGGGGCGGAGCGTGGTCCGGGCCGGCGCCGGTGACCCGAGCTCCAGGCCGCGACGGCTGGGCTTGACGACCCCGGCTCCGCCTCCTCCCCGCTCCAGGACGGCTCACTGGGGCACCCGCCGCGGCAACCCCTTGGCACCAAAGCCGGACAGCACGGCGACCCGCAGAATCGAAAACAATGGGCCAGCCGGAAACGGGTGAGGCCCCCACTTCCGGCTCTTTAGGATCCCGGAAATCTCGGCAGCAAAGATGGGCGCGCGCGCTCCGCACCCGGGAGAGTGGGCTGGTTTCTGGGCACTGGCAGCCAGACGACTCCGGCCGGGCCAGTCCCCCGCGACCGGAGTGAGAGCGGAGGGCGTGACTGCGGCCTCAGACTGCCCACACCTGCTCTCAGGCCATTCAAAGTCCGGACAACCCAAAGGCACCCCAGCTCTGCCCCTTCCCTTCCGGCTGACCGTCAAAAAGATCCCCAACCTCTCTGAACAAGTTTCTCGTCGGAAAAATGGGCCGCATGGCGCGTGCCTCACAGGGCTGTAAGCGCTGGATGAGGTAACATACAGACAATACATAGCAAGGCTTGGCATATCCTGAGCATTCAGTCAGTTATTATGTGTGTGCCAAGTGCATTTTCACATAGTATGAGTCTCAGTGAAGTGTGCAGCAGGCATCCCCGTCTTAGAAGTAAAGAAGCAGGCCCAGGAATTGTGATATTTACGCTCATAGATGTGGTTAATCTTTTCCAAGACAGCCCTAGAATCATGGTGTCCAAGGAGAGGCTCTTGGGGAGGGCCAGGGAGCCAGTAAAAAGCCAGAAGCTACCAGGACAGGATAATATAGATAACCAGTTCATGTGTTGCCGTTGGTCACTAATTTCTGGGAAGCAGGTATTACCCAGGTGGGTATGTAACCCTATGAGGGTGTGTCCTACGCAGCATGACCCCTGGAGTTAATTGAGAGACACCAGGCCTTTGAGAAAGAGAAAGTAGACTTTATTGCAAGCCGGTCAAGCAAGGAGCTCGGAGACTAAGTCTCAAATCAAGCTCCCCAAGGTTGGGGATTCTAGGGTAGTTACAAGGTTTGGGATAGGGAAATTATGCATAATTCATGAAGTTTCTGGGAATAGGCAGGCAATTCCATGAACTAATTAACATGTATGGGGATGCAGTCAGGGTGCAATATGGTGTTTTTTGGGTGGTATGACTAGAGAAGTTCATTTAAGGACAGCTTTGCGGCTATTGCGCATGTCCGAATGGAGGGGCACGTCCAGAGGAGCAGTAAGGTGATACTGAGCTACTACACAAGATGCCTTATCAGGAACTCACAGACCTCGTGTGTGATGGGAAGAGGGGGAACAGTTTAACCCTGTCAGTTACAGGTTTTGCCTGGAAAAATAGTTTGCAGACAGAAACGGTGTGAACAGGTCCTTGCTGCTAACCTGATTGAGCAGGCCCTGGAGGCACAACCTCTGAGTATAATGGCCATGGGTGAAGGGCAGAGGATAAGATGATGGAGTTAGGTGTGTATCTTATCGTAGTCCAGAAGGGTAGGTCCTTTACAGGGTCCAAAGTAACAATCTCCTAGGCTGTCCATGGGTCAATAATATCTGAAAGATGCCCTGGTCCTACCTCTGGCCCTGACATGTGTCCTTCATGTCTCTACACAGGCGAGGACAGAAACAAAGGTATCAGAAGTCCTGCTGCAGAGTTCACACACAGGCTTAAAGGAGGCTACTGGAGCAGTCTTTGCCCATTGAGCCTATTGGGTGGCCTCCTAACATCAGTGTCATCCTCTTCATTTGGAAACCTCATGGGGAGGTCTTGACTTTCTGGGCCTCAGCTTGTGCCTGACATTGCCACTGGCTGTGGCTTATTGGTCCATCAAGGCCTCAGAGGCTTAGCGTTCTTGAGCCAGAAATCTCTTAATGCTGGGCAGGTGCTGTTAACATCAGTTTTCAGGTTTCCCTGACTATATGTCATCCAGTTCTGTGTGCCTAGTATGTAAGAGATGTAAGAATCTGGAAACCAAGATCAAGTTTTTTTTATTCCTCAGAGCTGTTTCATGCTCATGTGGCCAGCTTTCATTGTCTGTGAGAGCCAGGACCATCTGGGCAGTGTGTCTAGACTTCAGAGGTGCCTCTGTGGCCAGCATTGTGGGGCTGAGCTACCTTAAGGGGGTTGGCCTGAGGGAATTCTGAACCCTACACTGACCTCTCTTAAACACCATCACACTAGCTTTGGTACGAAAATTAGCACATAGGTTACCCAAATTCTATATGCCTAACATAGAACTCACCATCTACCCCCAAACCTGAAGCTCTACCCCTGTTCCAGTCACTGTGAAAGGCACTAGTATTCACCCAGTGGCCCAAACTAGAACCCTGGATGTCATACCATGAGCTGCATAACTATGGGCAAGTTACTTAGCCTTTTCGTGCTGCAGCTTCCTCATCTCTAAAATGGGCAAAATAATACACTGAAATCTGTGAGAGCTGGAACTCCACAGGACTGCCTTGTCTTTTCAGGTCTTGCAAGTTTTCTGCCTTTGACAGCGTGCAGTCTTCCACTTTTCTATTGCTTGTAATAGTGGAAAATATTTTACGGTTCCTTCTCTGACAGGTTTCAGCCTTACACGGTACCTAACTTGTAGAGTTGTGAGAATTGCATGAGTGAGATAAAACATATAAGGCATGTAGAATGATGCCTGGTACATTGTAAGTACTACAGGTGTTCTAGTATTGTGTTTACTATCCTGACTTCCTCCCACTTCTCTGCCCCCTGTATCCAGTCTATTGCTAAGGCCTGCTGAGTCTTTGCCCCATTTATATGTAGTAATAAGACGAGAAAGCCCCTATACCACTTACTATGTTGCTCTGCATCACCACTGCCCCCCTACCCCATGTCAAGTCCTGCCTGGGGAGGGGGCAGCTGTGAGAAAGTTGTCTGTAGGAACGTTTTAGATGTAAGGAGATTATAAAGAGTGGAGCTCAGTAAGGTCTTGAGATTCTTTGCCCCTACACTGCTCAGATCTTCTGACATCATCTGTGTGGACAGTCCCCTTTTCAACAGCCAGGACACTCATTAGTTGGTTGCCACTGAGTCTATTCTGAAGCATGGCGACCACGTTTTCAGAGCAGAACTGGTCTATAGAGGTTTTCATTGCTATAACCTTTTGGAAGTAGATTGCCAGGCCTGTCTTTCGAGGCATCACTGGGTGGGTTTGAACCACCAACCTTTTGGCTAGTAATTGAGTGTTTAACCATTTGCACCTCTCAGGGACTCCCAGGTCACTCATACACACCTAGGAAAGATGGTGGGGCCTTAGACATGCTGGGGGGGTGGGCAGGGAGGGAGAGCCATGATAAGGGCAGGAAACCCCAGCTACTGTGCTTGAATGGGCACTAGCCCAAGCACTAGCTAGGAGAGTGAGGAGACCCTCCATTTACCTGGGAAACTCCTACCTACTTGTTCTCCAAATCTTAGCTGAGAAGCCCCCTTCTCCAGGAAGCCTTCTCTGTACCCCACTTCCCAATCTGAATTAGGTGCTCCCTCCTTTGAGGTCCTGTGGTGGCCTATTGTAGCCTTGTAATGGGCCTTATTTATCATGCTGTATTAACATCATCTGTTTACTTGTTGGATTCCCCCACTGTGTGGTAAGCCCTGTGTGGGCTGACATCATGTCTCCTGGCTCACAGTTGAGCCCCCAGGCACCAGCTCAAGGCTTGGCTGGTTTTCGTGTCTGTCTCCTGGGCTAGATGTAAGCTCTCTACGGACAGGCCACTGTGATTTCCCTGGATCCAGCACAGTGCCTGGCCTAGCCTCTGAGAAGTGTGCCCTTGCTCCAGGTTACTGTGGGAGGCTTTTAAACAGGGCAAGAAACTGATCCGTCTGGGTTTTAGAAAGTTGCCTATGATGGCCAGCTATACTGAGGGGCTTGGAGGGAAAGAGCCACAGACAACACTTAATATCTGCTGGTCTGCTTAGCCTTCTGCCTCTGTGAGACAGGATCATTAGTTCCTACTTTGAAGATGAGAATCCTGAGGCTTGGCAAATGTCCTGCTAACTAGGTGACCCTGAAACACCACTCTGCCGCGGCTCCCCGGGCCCCCCTGCCTTCGCAGCCCTTGGAAATCGCGGTATCTAACCATGTAACGGTGGTTTTGTATTTGGCGCCAGATCTTTGCGCATGTGCAGGCCAGGGTCTTGGCGCATGTGCAGATCTAGAGACTCTGCCCTTAAACTGACGACGGACATGAGCATCACTGGAAGGGAGGTTATTGTCTGGCACACAGCACCACCCAAGCAGCTTTGCAAACCGAGAAGTCCCACAAAGCGGACTTCCTATGAAGAGTGACTCAGCATGACTCAGCACCTGGAGGTCCAAATTCCAGCATGGGAAGGCTCAGGGTGTAGGGTTTCGGGGCCCATCCCTGCCCCCTGGGAACTCGAGGACATAAAAGGTCCCCGAATGCCTTGGGTGGGGAGCGCATGGTCTTTGGCCGCTAGGCCCCATGTTGCTCCTTGTCTGCGCAGACGATAAATTTGCCCCTTTCTGTTTTCGTTGGAATTGGCATCCGTCTTATTTCCATCGGCTACCAGGACAGGATAAGAATCGGAGGAATTCGGTTATAAATTCTGGCAACTCGCCAGGACCTGAGGACTCTGAGCTTTGAGTATCTGGACTTCTGCAACTCCTTAAGGTGCGCCCAAATCTCCTTTGATGGGTGAGGAGTCTAGGGTGGCCACTGTGAGGCCTGCCCTGGGGAAAAGTCGCCAGGTCACCACCTGTTGGTCGGAAACAGAAACTGGATGGGAGAGGGTACGGGTCCCTCTGTGGAGGCAAAGCATTCGACCAGGTTGTTCCACTGGTCTTGGGGAACTGGGCAAGATGAGAGTGGCAAAAGACAGTCCTAAGACCAGACCCAAGGGTTAGAGATACAAAACGAGGGAAGTAGGGGTCGTGGCCCCTGGGACCCAGCCTTACCTAGTTGGGGTCCCTCGCCCCAATTTAAGGGTATGAGGCCCTCTGGGGTCGCCTCGCCATTGGTGACACTCTTTTGGAACACTCTTTCTCTTCTCTCTCTCTCTATCCTTTATTTCCTTTTCTTTCTTCTCCAAGTGGAGAAGGGTGGCTTTTCACCCTGGATAGACTGTAACCCCAAGAATTACCAACGTTGGCAGTA